TAATAATGAAATAAATTATTATAAAAATTTTTAATTTAAAATGTGTAAAACTAAACAGAATTACAAAGTTAGCTTGCTTACATTAGAATAACTGAATACGATAAACTCCACGAGAGCTATCTGCCTAAACAGTGCACAAGCAGAATTTTTAATAACTGCAAGAACTAAAATTTACAGCTGAAAGAATTCTTTAACTGTGGAAATACAGCTTTTACAAAAACAAATTTCTAAAAGACTTAAATTTCCGTAAAAGTTGCCAAGTTTAAAAACCACAAAAATTGAAACATTTATGTTTATTTTCTTGGAAACAGCAATTTTGTTGCGAACTTCTAAAAGTAAAAAATGTAACTAATGCACCAAAAAAAAAAAAAAAAAAAAAAAAAAAAAAAAAAAAAAAAACGAAACTTGACATTTATTTGATAAAGGAATACGCGGTATTTTAATAAATTAAAAAAAAATATGCGCATTTTGTGTTTGAACTATATTACAAATCTTTTCTCAATTTTGGTGATGGAAATTTGTTTCTATGGAATCTGTATCATTATTTTTATCATATTTACAAAGTAAACACTTTTACCTCATTTCTTATTTCTTATGTTTTAGTTTAACATGCATGCCTTCGATATCTGAATTTTTCTAGAAGTCACCCATGCATAAAAAGATTCTTTTATTCTCGGTACTGCAATAAAAAGTTAACATCTTATTTCGTTCCATTTTGTTCAAATGGCATATTTGACAGTTTTCCATCGAGAAGATGACAATTCATTTTCTGACTATATTTTGCAAAACAGACTTTTTATCAGACAAACAGAAGTCTTACTTGGTGTGAAGATAAAAGGAAAGTTATACAGTTGAAAAATTGGAACGTTTCAGAAATGATTTGCTAAGCGTAACAACAAAATAAAAGAACGTTTTAAGAATATTTACGACTTGCATCGATTGACGTCTATGCTTTTTTTCACATAAAATATGCGTTGTAAGAGAATAACATAAATTGAACTTTTATTTTGCAATTTCTTCATCTGTCATAATAATTTCAATACTAATTATTATGACTTATATCATAATTTCGTCATATTTATATTCCGATCTTGTTAAATTTTGTTTCAGTCATAAGGTATTTCTCCCACTTTCCTAGCGTGCCTTCGTGGTATAGTGGTTCTGCACGCTGGGACGGTATTCCAGAGGTTCGTGGTTCGGTTCCCAGCGAAAGCGATTGCTCATTTTTCAGCTTGTCTGCTTCCAAAAAATGCCTAATGTCTCTACCGTGGCGCACGAACTAAAAGGGTGTTGGATGATGATTCTCCTCACCCAGGATTTGGCGATTGGGTCCCCTAAAAATCCCACTCGCCCTTTAAAAGGGGAAGTATACAATTTATTTCTCCCACCTTCCTAGCATGCCTTCGTGGTGTAGTGGTTCTGCACGGTGGGACGGTACTCCAGAAGTCCGTGGTTCAATTCCCGGCGAAGGCGTTGCTAATTTTTCGAGCGGATGAACTAGCTAAGACTGCAGCTCTCAAACTAGAAATTGACAAAGAAGTTCCGCTTTCCGCAGAAGTTGCAAAAAGGCTTTTCAAGACAACATTTCAAGAGACTTGGTCATCACGACGGCAGGAAGAAGAGACAGGAAGATTTACTTACAACATCTTCCCAATACCTTCTCTCAAGAGGCTCAAATGCAACCGACTCTTCCTCCAAGCCCGTACCAACCACGGGAAATTCCCAGCATATTACAGACGATTCCTCAGACGAGACGTCAACTGTTCTTGCGGTTTTCGCGGGGAAGACGCGGACGCACTTCATTACCGCTCTCCTGCCCTCTGACAGAGCACCTTCGACAGCAGTTCTTTCTTTCCGACTACATCACATATCCTGTGAATAGACTGTTCACGGACTATTACTGCAACAAGGGCATCTTAGAGATAATGAAACAAGTGAATGAAAATAATTATATCCAAGAAACTAAACATTAATGTAAAATGTAGAAAGGGGGCCTAACCGTCAGATTGCCAGCAATGACTAGGATGACTTCCTAACCCTGCAGTGCCATTAACTTAGTTTGGTGGAACAGGTTAAGTAAAGTGACCATACCCTTTCCTGCTTCCAATTAACCTAGTGTCTCTACAACCTTTGTCACTAGAATTATTACAACAAAGTTAAAATAAAAAAAAAAACTATTTATTAACACGTCGACCTGACTCTTAGATAAACAGGGGAAAAATTAACAGAAGTAACATAACATATCTTTCAACTTGCAGAAAGGCAAACAACTTTTATTATACAAAATAAAATTAACTCAAGTGAAGAACACAAAATTAACAAGGTCTAATATAAACCTTGGTTCTCTTTGGCTAATTGCACACTGGGCACTTGGTCTGCACACTGGGCCGGTGTACCAGAAGTCAGTGGTTCGATTCTCGGCGAAAGCGATTGCTCAATTTTCATCTTGCCTGCTTCCAAAAAATGCCTAATGTCTCTAGGCAATAGTTAATTTGGTTTGCTATAAAAATCGATTTTTTTTCTTGCTTTACGATATATCTTTCGCTTATTTTGATTTGTTTCGTAGAAGGTCTTCCTGAAAACTGAATAAGTTTATTTTTTGTACTTTTTTCATTGCTTTTCAGATATGTGCCCTTTAAGGAATTTTATTTGAATTTATTTGGTAGTTTTTTCATGTTCGCTTTTGCTCATAACGTTAAGAAAGCATTTTTACAGTGAAAAAATTATCAAATAGAAAATTTATTTAATTTTCATCTAATTTATATTTAATTAAATATTTGAAAAATGTTGACATTATGTGTGGATAAAAATACGTTCTCTAGAAAAGATACTTAAGTTGTTTGACATCGTAAAGTCATAAAAGGGCAATTTAGCATAGAGGCGAGTTACCTATGGATTTTTGCTTTATTATACTTTTGAGTATTTTATAGGATGTCATTTAACATTTTCAAGAATGGAAAAATAACAGATTACAAGGTAATTTCTGAAAATATTGATGAGAGATCTAATCCCAGATATAGCCATGCTGCAACTCCTTTGATCTTCTCAGTGTATAAGCGTACAAATGCAAGAAAGTTTATCTCCAGGTTTGCCATAACCTGCTATCATACTACACTGCGGTAAAATGCTATCATTCTGTTCATAGTTATAAGTGTTTTTCGATTTTGTTTTCAAGAGTTTATACCTCTTATAATGGTAAACTATATGCATATGGCTATATTGTATAGCTATTAATTTTGTCGAAGCGGGAGACGTGTAAAATACAGCGTGCCCTCACCGGGTTTCGTACTCCGAGTCTACCAAATACTAGCCGGACGTGATTTACAGTTACACAACGAAGGCACGCGGAAGGAAGGGAGAAAAATCTTACACTCTCCCTCCTTTTTAAAGAGCAACTGGGAAAAGAGGAACCAAGCTTTCATTTCTGGCGATGACAAATTATGGTCCACCATATTTTAGTTCGAGCGTCAGCGAGCATCAATAAATCTGTCAAAGTGTCAAAGCAGAAGACGTGAAAATGTGCTATGACTCTTCGGGATTTGAACTCCAGAACCTTCTATTGTTATCCGGGTTTGCTTTTAAATTTCGCAACTAAAGCACGCAGTGAGGAAAATTTTTTACAATGTCATTTTACTTATACTGTTATCTGATACTGGTAAATATTTGTAGGGAGACATGCCCCAGCAGTACTCACAAGCAAGAGGTTTTATCTAAAGAGGCTGAGATGAGTTTATTTTATTTTTAAACGGAAAGGAAGGCCACCCGATTGGTATAGTGTTTAGCCTCGCAGACTGCCGTTCCGTAGAACCCAGGTCCGAATCCCGGAGAAAGCATGGATGTTTGCAAATGTATGGTATCCATGAGGCATGGGGACGCTCTAAATATGCGGCGAGCCGAACATCCTATCGAGAGGTAATGGTGGGGGAAGAAAGGTGGTAGACCCTCGGACCGGTCCCCTTCGGGGTGCTTTCCACCAAATATGGGGATGGAACTGAGGAGGAAAATCGCACTGTAAGCACCTGTAAGACGCTCAAGGCTGTTGCCAACAACAGGCGTAAACTCGCGCTCCTTGCCGTGAGGTATTTCGTGGACTTGGGCTGATTATAGGTCAGACAAGTCAGCATTAGCAAGAACAACAACAAAGGAAAGGACGACGCCTCTAATTAAAAAAATCTTAGGGAAATTCCTGAGAGTTTAGAGTTGTCATAAAATGATGGTGTGGTGTATTTAATTATGGCAAAACACACTAGGGCTATCTGCCTAAGAGGAGGGATGCCTTTCGTGGAGGACTTTCCAAGGGAAACTGGCTCGTATACACGTTACACATGGGGAAAACCACGAAAACACCCATGCAGCCAGCCCGTTCGCGGGATTCGAACCTCGGACCGAACTACCAGTGTTCAGCGACTTTACCGCTCGGCCGCTGGTGGGCCTTGTCTTAAAATAAAAAAACAATACATTCTCCTGCGCTAATGATGAAAATTCCCAATTGATCAATTTAGGACGCAAAAGTGTTAAAAATATTAGTAAGGAAGAAGTCACACTGATTAAAAATTATGATGAGGGATTAAGGATTTGAGTTACACTTATAGAAACATATAATCTCTCTTGAAAGACCGGCTGGGATGATATACCCAAGGAATCAAAAATGAAATTCTTCGATGATGAAGACATGCATCGCTTTTACAAGTAGTCAAAAACAGATGAATGATACATACATACATATATCTATACAATATTTTTAATGCAATAATTAAAATCCCTCTGTAGATTCATTAGCTTCTTTTTTTCGGGTGGGGGGGGAGAATGAGACGTAAAAAATGAGCAATGCCCTCGCCGGGACTTGAACCTGGACCTCTCGAGTGTGCTGCGCTTGCACCACGAAGACATGCTAGAAGGAAAAAAGAGGAATACAGTATCTTATACGTCTTGAATTAATTTGATTTTTTCTGTTTTTAGATGCAAGTAGAAATGAATTGTTGACTTTTTTTCCATTGCAGCCGCTGAGGATGCAAAGATTTGGGTTATGGATCGAAAAGCATTTCACACGATAATGATGAAAACAGGATTACAAAGGCAAGAAGATAATATGAAGTTTTTAAGGAGGTAAATGTTTCTATTTTACATCGCTTATATCTATTTCATCAGATCTTTTTTTGTTCCTCGAGAAATTCTAGAAGGAAAGCTGAATATTTTATCTATATGGATTTTGATAGCAATTAGTAATTAAAAAAATAACTATTATTTAGTGAAACAGAAACTCATAGTGCTTATTGTTGTTAGACTTGTTCACTGAGAAAATGTTTGTCATTAGTAAAATGGCACTGACTAGTGAGATGATATGATAGTATCAATGATCAGTGGTACTGCACTCACTCCGTCATTCAGAGACGATTAATGGATTGGATTTCTGTCTTGTGTTAACTGCGTTCACTTATGATCATAAATTAGGTGAAAGGATTCAAGAACATTCCTAACGCTTATTGTTATGGCAGTGATTCTTAAGCTATGGTCCAAGAACCTGTAGGTGTCTGAAGATAAATATTCAGTGATTTACGAGTTATTTCTTAAATTAAACTTTTGTAAGCACCGCTTCCGACCGTAGTAGTGGCGTAGCAGTGAACGGCTAGAGTCCGCCACTTTTATTAGCACCAGAGCTATTATTATTCTGGAAACAAACTTTTAGGTCCGAATTACTTTTCAAATTCATCGCTTCGTTAGATGTTATCAAATCTTATCACCAAATGTTATTGCCGTGAGTTATTTTTAAAAAAATTAAATAATGAAGAATTTGTATGTATATATGTACGTTCTTCGCATTATGGTAAAACAATGACATAGAGAGCAATTGTTTTTAACACACGTAGTCTTCCTCTGCAACATGGGCACTTTAATGTCTGAATTTTTAATTTTGATTTATTTCATATTTTGAAAAAAAAATAGTGAATTTTTATTTAACAAACTCGGCGATTTGAAAGGAAGAAAAAGCAACACTTTTCGAAACAAAACATTTTTATCTCCAGCTCTCCAGACTTTTGCCATTTCGCAAAATGTAAGAGTTTTCAAATTTAATCTACAGATTCGGCTCTTTGAAAGCAATCTGGAACCACTGCCTCAAATACAGTACTTATCATCTCCACGCAACAGCATGTTGCCATTCAGAAATTTGAAATTTTCAAAAATCTTTCTCTTACTGAGTAGCAAACCAAGTGGTTGAAAAGCAATAAAAGCAGTTCTTAAAATATGTTTTGTACTTTATAATTCGGTAGATTTGAACAGAAATGTATTTAAATAAGATGTCTAATTAGAAATATTCAATAAATTTAAGAAATTACACTAGCTGGACTCATTAAAATTATCATATACTTTTCTCTTTTTATGATAACTGTTTTAGCCCACTGGCTGTCAGAGCTTCTTTAGAAATAATATAGGGAATATAAAATTATGTATGGTGACACCTAACAGTCTGTCGTGAATTCAAATGATATGCAATTTTTAAATATTTTGTGATTTTGCTCTTGAATTTTTTTGTGGCATTAGTGTGAAGAGAACGATGCTTAATAATAAAGCTAATAAGAATTTTAAAACAACAAATTTGGCCAGAGGGTGCCCTAGAGCAGACAGTTAACCAACGATGCTCAGTGAGAGCAAAAAAACGTAACAAATCCTCTAGTGCAAAGCTTATATCTGGATCCTTTCAGATTTTTTTATCTTTCTTTATTCCAAATTTTACTAAGAAAAACTGCTTGGTCAGCAATTTCCAGAAATTGAAACTTTGGTTCCTAGAATTGTTTGTGAGGTGGTTATGAAAGCCAGCTTAAGGAACAGTAAGCTGACTACTCCGTGAAATTTGCTTTCAAGCGAAATATATTTTCTGACTTAATCGCTAAATATCTATAACTAAATCAGTTAGTTTTTGAAGTTGCCATTTTAAATTTGAAAAATATTTTGAATTATATATTATTTAAACTGTAAAACAATGCACACTTTAAAATACATACGCATTTTCAAGCACTTAACTATATTTAAAATAAAAAAAATTACGAAGAATATTTTTTAATAAGTTAAACTCCTATATTTTCTTTTAGAAATTTTTTTACACTTTCTGATTTATTTTTACTGTATAGAAATTACAAGTATATTGTATTAGTATATTGTATTAGAAATATGGTTAGAAATTATAAATATACGGTCCAAATCATTGATCATTGTTTGGCATATTATTTGTTAATTTATATAACTGTATTGATTTTACTTGCAAATCATTTTTAAAAAGCAAAGTTTGAATATTTGTTTTCTTTGTTTTATGAAGTTTTAAGTTTTCGAAAAGTTGTTTACTGAAAAACGAAAATGTTCTTGAGTGTGGTGCCGGAAGGTTTCTTTTGAGCTTAGCTACAAAAGTTTGGAACTTCCACTAACAAAATTACATTTCTTTCGACTAAAGAAAATATTTCTTTATGAAGAAATAAGTAAAGAAATACACTTTTTCTTAAAAACACATAAAATTCTTTTTAACAGATGGCGAAGTTTTTTCGTTTTCAGTTTTTTTATATAACACTGAGAATGATGTTAGCAAAAATGTTTCAAGAATAATTTTACAGTTTAATTTGAAAGTTTTTATTATTTTCCTAGTTCTTGGAATTTTCAGTTTCATTTATTAGTTCTTATAGTTCAAGACTACAGCACAAGTTACTATAGAAGCATTCATCTCAGACGTTTAATTAAATATAAAAATCTGATGTGTGCACCACATGACTTCCTTGTACAGAATATTAAATTATACCCATTTTTTTCTTGCGTTTCATTTAAACTTATTGGATTAAATTAAATCTACTTCGTCGATAGCGCATAAACCACAATAGAAGATTAACCACAATAGTACCGGATTCCTTCATCTATGTATTAAATCATGACATATATATACATATACACATATATATGCAAATACATACATATATGTAATAATAGCAAGAAAATGCCAGAACACTGCTGATGCGTACGTAGATCCATATTGGAGAGGAAAAATTCTGATTGTGTATTATGCTGATGTGTTGAGATCATAATATCTAAAAAACTTTAAAATTCACTACATGTGTTTACCATAGCGACACTCTGGCCCTGGGTTCACTTAAGAGCGTTACATTTCATTCATTTTTTAACTCAGAATGTACAAAATTTATATCATCTTAAGAATTATCTAATCGTTGCCACATGTTTTACTTAAATACTATAATAAATCTAAAACGATGTATAAAATGTATAAAAGAATTTAAGAAAAGAACAACAACAAAAAAGAAACAGTTTTTCACAGACGATTCACTATTTCTCATTCAATTAATTCAGTTCTCACTTCGCGACAAGGCAAAAGTGAGTTAAAACTCAAGATGTCAGTATTGAAAATTATTAAGTAAATCTTAAACACTTATTTCCTAGGATAAATTCCAGAATGGATTAAGCATGATTTAATTCGCAATAATAAAAGAAAGCGTTATCTTTGTTATAGCGAAGCTTACTTTCTCTGGATTGGCAACAAATCTACTATTCTGCTGTTTCAAATATAAACAAGCAATGGCCGCCATGGAAAAATTATTAGCCTTAGCGGAACTTAAACAACTTTTAAATTGTTGATAATTCTGAAAATACTGCATGCAGATTTATGAAAGGCGTAAAATCCTTAACCGGAAGATAAGAACAACATAATTGAATCACTTTTACAAGCAAAAAATGCACAATTTCACAAACATATAAGACTAAAGAAACTGAGATCACTGAGCCGATTAACAAAGTGGTTATATACATATATTTACGTATATATGTTTGGTGGGCCGATTCAAAAATACGAGGGCCATCACTGTTTAGCACTAAACCTTAAGGGGGAGCTTTTAGAATTCAAAAGTTTGCCGCAAGCCCAAAAAAAATCAAAAAACAAAAACTGTTGGCGAAAAATTTATCCTGAATAACAATTCACAAAAGTCTTAATACAAATGAGATGACAAGACGAATGATTAAAATTTTATTGGAGAGCCAAAAGTGTTAATTTTACATTTAATTTTTAATAAAAGTCTAAACTTTATAACTAGTTCGAAATTTTTTTGAAATGGTAATAATAAATGAAATTGTAATAAAAAATATAATCAAAAATTTAGAAATAAGTAAATCAAATACAAAATTAAGATAATAATAGTAATAATATTAATAATAATAAAATTAATGCTAAGCAAAATAAAATATTAAGGAGAAAGAAATATAAAATTTAAAAAGTAACAATAAGAAAACACACACAAAAAAAATTAAATAAAAGTAAATATTAATAAACAAATAAGTAAAAATAAAATAGCATTTAAAAAGAATATGATATAAACATAGTAAAAAATGCAGTAATTGCAAAAATATAATAAAAATAATTCTTAAGCTTTAATTAAAAGCCTTAATTTTGGCAAAATGCACAGTTTAGTCATAATTAAGCCACTTCCTTGGCTCCCCAATTAGTATCTTTTTTATTAAATAAATATAGGTTCTGCTTATGAGCTCAGTTTTTCAGTCAGTCAAGGAGATCATCACATGACCAGTCCCTGGTCAGTCAATGTCCAAATTTATACAATCAATGAGATCGTCTCTTATTTAGTCAATGTCCTATATTTATTCAGTCACTTCAGTCACTTCAGTCACTGGTCAATTAGTGTGATCGTCAGTTAGTCAGTCTCTCGTCAGTCAATGTACAATTTTTAGTCAGTCAATTAGATTGGTGTCATTTCGAACAAATGTATCACGAACATAAATTGAAATTATGTAAACTTAGATTTTGATATGATGCTTTAAACTGTTATGTTTATTTTTGATTTTTTTAAAGCGAAAATATTTCAGTAAAGCTTTTCTTAATTTTGAAATTGTGAAACGCTTGCTGCGCTGTGATGAAGGATGTTGAGTATTCTCGTCATCAACGTAGATAACAGCGACGGTATCAACGACGATATCAATAAGGCGTTCTTGAAATTCTTGAATTGGTTTCACTTCTAATCTGTCTACTTGATCCATTTTGCTATTTATTTCTGGTTCATTATTTGTGTTGATGAGATTGCCGAAATTGATGTCCCCTTGTGCTCCAA